AATTTACTTCTTCCACCAATAGCCATCATGGCTGATTGGGCCCATTCCAAATAGTTTGATCCATCAAACTTTACGGTTGTAATCTGACCACCCATCTCAGAAACACTACCATAATTGATGTTCCCAAGGCTGCCTTCTGCCTGATTTTTAAACTCCATTTCGGTCAAGTCTCAAAACAGCACCTGGACTACCAATCACAATAAAAAACGGTATAGGCCTGATCTGTATTCACAGTGTATGTGCACAAAACTGGGATAATTTTGATCTGAAACCAACTAGCCAACACAACAGTAGTTGTCCGTAGAGCTCCAACCCCTTAAGAGAGTTCGAAACCAAAAAAAAACTCTGAAAAACAGCTTAGAAGTAGGTCTGATATGTTTGGCAAAGTTAGGGTTTTAATCAGTCCTTAAAGTGAACAATTCAGTTGCACAATCCAATCAGTAYCGTATAGATAGACTTGCAGTAGGGTTAATAWGAAACCCTAGAATCTGATCAATGCTAACAATAAACTTGAGGGCAGCTCTAGGTAGATCACAAGGTTCAGTCTAACACTAGGGCTTGCCRCAAGATCACTTTCAAACCCTAGAGCAGAGAGAAACAAAGTTGAGACAGTTCAGCCCAACAGTAGGGTTTGCTGTAAAACCCTAGTGAATCGAAGAGAGAAAACCCTAGAATGGTTTGGCCTCCCTCTCCATATAGGTCCAACCTATCTTCTCTGATAGAACTTCTCTTAGAAAATAAATAACTTACAAGGAAAAAATGTCCGCTGCCTTCTAAGGTTACCCGAACCCTAGTCTTCTCTAATCCCTTCTGACCACCAACACTCTGCAACCCTAACAAGCTTCCAATAGCTGCTAGCACTTCTGGCGATCTCCAAGTATCAATCTGCGAACTCCTCCTTTTCAGCTTCTAGTCCTAGGAGATTCTCATGTGGTCGGCTGGTATTAGRCTCACATGAGAAACCCYAACTTGGCTCTGATACCATGTAGGTKTTCAAGACTGCTATCAGTCTTGATCACTAAGAAACTTCAGGTTCGAAGAGAAGAGAAAGTGAAGAAGAAAGAGGAGAAAGAGTAGTGAGAGAGCAGTAGAACACAGGTTTTGAGGAGAACAGAATCTCAATAATCTGCCGCCGCCACTTCAATTTAATATTTATATTTTATGCTAGTTACATGAAAGGACACATTTGCCCTTGGTGTTTACGTCATAACACATAACAATATAAAACTGAAAAGTAAATAACAACTAGAATAACAGAATAACAGATTGACCCTCAACTATGACTAGATACATTCTACCCTACGAACAGAGTGGGACCACAGCTGTGGGTCCCACATCAGTGTTCTCTACAGAGATCATCAGGAAATGAAATAGGACTAACAATACCCGGCCAAGACAAACAAGGATCCACCTCCTGAGAACCTGCTAGTTGAAGGTGCATAGTTTTTTATTGCTTCATGTCTTGGGATAAGTGCTAATCCTTCTAGTCATTGGAATAGAAATGAAAAGGCTGCTAAGGAGGATAACTGCTAATCCTTCTAGTGATACGAATAGAAATGAAAAGGCTGCTAAGGAGGATAATTGCTAATCCTTCTAGTGATAGGAGCAGAGGGGGATGACATTGTAAAAGAATTGACATAGTACTTTTGTAATTTCTTTGCTTTTCTCTAGGTACATGTAAATTGTCTTTTTGTATGTAAGGAAGCTCTACAAAAAAGAGAGAATTTATACAAATCAAAACAGATAAGATGTTTTAACTTAGCATAATTATAAGTGAACAATATGAATATTGCCCTGCAAACAGGTTCAATTTGAGCTCCATCAAAATAATAGGCAACTTATCATCTTAGACATCCAACAATCTAGAGCATATCCAGACCTATAATGGACAGTGTAAAGAGCATACCAATCCTATATATTTTAGATGCATTAGAACTTGATCTGTTTCCAGCTCCTGTGGAAAATGAAGAAAGAAAAGATAGAATGTGTTACATAAAAAACAAGATTATAAAGATGTAAACTAAACTGACAAGTTTATAATCATTGTGAGGTTAAAACAATATGATAAGAGAAGCTATTTGAGGGGGGGGGGGGGGGGGGGGGGAACAGCTGCAATGCCTCGTCAGGTTTTTCAGTAGCTCCTTCAGATGGATCCTTTGAGGAATAACAAGTCTTATTTTAAAAAGAGCAAAATGCTGTACACATGAGAGGATTACGGCCATATACAAAAAACATAATAAATAGCAAACAACCACATGCACATGAGAGGATGTAACACATGGGAAGGGAGAGAGAGAGAGAGAGATGCATCTATACATGAAATTCTCCAGATTCAGCTAGTCCATGAAAATGCTCATGATGAGTGCAACTATACTGCTTTGGTTGAGCCCCTATCTCCTTTAAGGGTAACAACACCTAAAACAAGCTGTCATCCACCTTGAGCAACATACTGCCTATTCAGGAAGCCCAGATCTTCAAATTACAATCAAAATGTAAGGACCAATTGATGCGAGCATGGAAGAAAGGAAGAACTCATGGAGAAATAAATCAGTTTTCTCTAGCTTCAATTTTGTTATTTCTAGTTGTTTCTAATTTTTTATTAATTTGAGCTATTTATATTTATTTTTAGTAAGCAACGCTCTCTGCTTACTGGTGTTGAGGTTCCTAAGTTGGGACGATGATAGACGCTTGCTATTGTCCAGAATCTCCAAAACATTCTCCTCTCCCTGACTCACGTGGTGAACTAACTTTATCACATGAGCCAGGTTTCTCCTTACTTGGTTTACAAGCCACTGACAGTCCCAACAGTTTAGGATTAAACTGTAAAAGCTTGTCCAACTCCTTACCTGACTCAAGAAAACCTTTCCTTCAAGCCACATCAGAAAAAGTGATATTACTCTTTGCCCTTCTATTTAATTCAAAACAATTTGAATTTACTTCTAAAATAGGCAAAACCTGCACTCGGCACTCACTACTTGACTGTTCAGCTTCCTTAATTGCATTGCCTCTCCAACGATTTCCTCTCCAAGCCTTCCACGTGTGCACCCTACTGCCAAATCAGCATTGTCTTCAACCTTGGTCGCCTCCCTCCACCACAACGCTTCAACTTCAGAGAGCATCCAGACTCTGTTCCAGACACCATCTGAGAATACCTCGATCAAACAGGGCACATCCTCTAGTTTAACCCCATTGATTCTCACCTCTACCGCAAGCAAATCCCCCAGATTGAATTCTTTGAGAGATCCTCCCATGGTCTTCACAATTTTCTCAATAGTCAGCTCATCCTAGGGGTGAGCATTCGGTTTATTCGGTTAAAAACCGAACCGAATAAACCAAAATTTTTAAAACTGAAATAATAAAATGAAAACCGAAACCAATTTTCAATAAAACCGAAATAACCAAACCAGAATTTTCGGTTCGGTTTTCGGTTATTTCGGTTAAAAACTGAATTTAGTTATTATAATATATATTATAAAATTTAATTTCATTACAATACATTATATATAATATATTAATATATAAATATATAGCATAAATATTATATATTGTATATTATATATTATATAATGAATTTTAGCTAATTTGGTTTTTTCGATTAACCGAATTTCTAAATCTAAAACCGAAACCAAAAACCAAAATTGTTAAAAACTGAATTAGCCAAACCAAATTACCCAAAAACTGAAAAAACTGAACCAAAAAAACCGAAACCAAAATTTTCAGTTCGGTAATTCGGTTTTAACCGAATAATGCTCACCCCTAGCTCATCCCACAAACCCCAAATTCTGTTCATTCGTTGCAGCACAGCATCCAGCTTTGGACTTGGATTAATCAATTTTTAGTTTCAAGCACGGCCTTCCTATCTTCAAAAGGTAATATAGTACAGCATCATCATCAAGCCCTAGTTTCTCCCTCACTGTATTCAGTATTTCCTTCCAGTCTGTACCATCCTCCTCCACAGTATCACCATATGATTCTCCCACTTCCCTCTCCCTGCTTCAATGTTACCTTTGGGTGGATTTTGAACTAGCTACTGAGATGCACTAAGGTAAAGTAATTTGTTCTTCTCCTTCAGTCTTCTTCTCCACAAACTTTTCACCCTTCTTCACAAAATGTAGATTATCAGTACCATCATTCTCTTCATTGTTTCTACTTTTTCCTATCATTGCCAGCCTAACAAGGTTAAGAAACTCCTGTAAATTTTTGACAAAGGACTACCCTATTTTCTTGTTTCCCTCCAGAATACAGACCATTTGACGTCTGTTACTATCAAAAAACTCCTATATTGCGATGAACCATCCTTTCCCATTGCCTTAGCTCGGCCTCATTTTTCTTTGATAGGAAATGCAAGCTTTCATTAAGAAATTAAACAAGATATTACAACTCCAGCATTATTTGATTGATTACATTGCACCATCAACGAAACCTTTTAGCCAGAGAGTTGCCTCGTCTGGTAAGAATATCATTGCCCTCCCATCTTCTCTGATTTTTAGCACATTCCTTCCATTTATTCTTCCCTGCTCAAAGATGATCTTCTTTGCTTCAATGATTCTGTTCTCCACCTGTTGGCCTCCTGGAAATCTCCCATCTTCTCAGTTGTCACTTTTCTCTAATGCTGGTTCAACTTGCCTCATACAGTGATTTGGTATTGTTCACCATCCTCAGGATTCTTCCATTCCAAGGCCTCCAGATGATCCATTTGGTGAATCTTACAAACAAAATGAAGAATTTAATGAAAAAAGTTTGTTTAAAGATAACTATGGATAAGAGTGCAGATTTCTCAAGCCAAATAGACAATTCTAGGTAACAGTAGAGAGCCTAGTTGCATAGGTAAATAGAATTTTACAATGCCAAAAAATTGAAATAATTCACTAGTTCTATAAATTTTAAAAAATAGCAATGCTCTTTACTCATCATCTCAGCCGTATCCCAACTATGTGGGACCAGCTATGTGAATCCTGTTTTGCTATTCCGTTCTGCTCAGTGCCAATTCCATTGTTAAATCACATACATTTAAATCATTTCTAATTACTTCAACTCAAGCCCTTTTTTAGTCAGCCCAGAGCACTTTACTCCCTTCAACTTGCAACAGATTGCTTCTTGCAGGTGCTGTAGATATCCTTTTATGGACACAACCAAACCATCTTAGTCAACTTTCTCTCATTTTATCACCAACTGGAGCTACTCCTAGGTTCCTTCGAATGACTTCAGTGCTGACCCTATCTGTTTTAGTTTCTCCATTCATCCATCTCAGCATACGGATTTCTGCTACTCATTTTTTGAACACGTTAGTTTTCGACTGCCCAACAGGGCCAACAGTGGGCCCCATACAGCACTACTGACCTAACAACTGTTTTATGGAGTTTTCCTACTAACCTAAGTAGTTTTAACCTATCACATAAGACTTGGGGTGCACCCCTCCATTTTGCCCATCCTACTCTAATTGTATGGGCAACTTCCTCCTCAACCTCTCATTTGTTACAGATTATTGAACCAAGGCAACAGAAAAGGTCACGTTGATTTATTTCTCAGTCTCCAATCCTAAGTGTACCCTAATATATGCTCTTAGTGATATTAAATTTATAGAGCATATATTTCTCATCCCACATATTTTAAAAATTCTTTCTAAGGTATTTGTCCATAAACTTAATTTTGCATTTAATCCTTCAGTAGTTTCATCACTTTATACAATGTCATCAGCAAATAACAAGCACCATGGGACCTCCCCTTGAATATGTTTAGTCAATTCATCTAATATTTGTGCAAATAAATAAGAACCAAATGGTTGAGGCTGGGTGAAGACCCATTATAGCTACAATATCTGATGCCTCCCCTGTAGGTGTTATAAGAACATTAATTTTCCACTTAAAACATTGCAAATTATCATCTAAAAGACAACAACATGTTAAATCTATAAATGCCAATATTTCAAGGGAACATTGCTTGGTTATCTCAGGCTGACAAGCATGAGAATATGGGTTCAAGTCTGAGAGAAGCCGCTTTGCATTAAGAGGCCGTCTGGAGAATATGGTTATCTTGGTTATCCCAGGCTTGCACCAGATTTCTTTCACAGCGAAGGTCCCACCTAGAGGGTTGGGGGAAGCAAGTACTTTGAAAAAAGAGGAGCAAGAAAAGAGGCCGTCTGGAGAGCCTACCCAGATTCTTGAATCTTCCAATGAAGGGTCCAGGTGGATTTGCCCCAAGAGATTCAGCAAACGGGTTAAGGATTCACACTCATTCTCCCTTAGTCCCCTTCTAAAGCCTAAATTCCAGTTCACACCAGTTGGACACAGAGATCCTAACATGGATATAGCTTTCCCCTTGAGGTTAGATAATGCAAAGAGATCAAGAAATTTATCTTTTAGTGGGGTTTCCCCTACCCATAGATCTTCCCAAAACAGAATTCTATTACCTTGTCCCACATCAAACCGGATGGAATTGAGGAAAGTAGGGTAGATTTCATGAATTGCTTTTCAAGGAGCAGCCAAAGACATGTGAGGGGAAACTTTTGCATCCCATCCATTTCCAGCCACCCCATGAATGCTCTCAATCACTTTGTGCCACAATTTGTCACCCTCAAATGGAAACCTCCAAAGCCACTTACCTAGTAGAGCTGTGTTCCTTAAAAGGATGTTTCCAATTCCCAAACCCCCTTGTTCCTTGGGCTTACTAACCTGCTCCCACTAGATCAAGTGATCCTTCCCTTCCTCTCCTAGGTCCCATAGGAAATTTCTCATATACTTTTCTAGGCAGTTTTCTACCTTAGAAGGGATTCTAAAAGTTGAAAGGAAGTAGGTGGGGAGGTTTGCCAGAGTGGCTCTAATCAAGGTTATTCTTCCACCCAACGAAATGTAATTCTTCTTCCAAAGGGCTAACTTCCTATCAAACCTTTCTATCACGGGTTTCTAGAAACCAACTGACTTGGGGTTTCCTCCTAAGGGTAAACCTAGGTAACTAATAGGCCAGATTCTGATCTCACACCCCAAAATTTCTGCAAATCTTGTTAGTTCCCCTTCCTCCAAATTGACCCCTACAATTCCACTTTTGGTCCAATTTATCCTCAGTCCTGTCACTCCCACAAAATTATTCAGCAGCACCCTCAAATTTTCCACCCACTCCTCATTGTTTCCTTCACAAAAAAAATATGGTGTCATCTGCAAATTGGAGATGGGCAACTCCACCCTTTGATGAGGCCTTGAGTATCAGCTTTTGCCACCATTCTACTTAACACTTCTGCCACTAAGGTAAACAAGAATGGGGATAGGGGGTCACCTTGCCAAATTCCTCTCCTAGTTGGGAAGAAGTCCTTTGTTGTGCCATTGATTCTGATTGAATAGTGAGCTAAACTAAAGCATCCTTTGGTCCAAGTCCTCCATCTATCTCCGAATCCGAATATTTCTAAAACTTTTAGGAGGACATCCCAATTAACCAAGTCATAGGCTTTTTCTAGATCTACCTTACAAACCAGCCCCTTTTCTCTACCCTTTCTTCTTTCCCCTACACATTCATTAGCCACCAAGATTTGATCCACAATCTGCCTTCCTTCTACAAAAGCTCCTTGAAAAGGAGAGATGATCGAGGGTAATACCTTTTTTAGTCTTTCTGCTAAAACCTTTGACAGAATTTTGTAAACACTCCCAATGAGACTTATTGGTCTAAAGTCTTTGGGGGTTTTGGCCTCCCTCTTCTTTGGAATCAAAGTGATAAATGTGGCATTTGCTCCTGGGGATACCTCCCCTTTGGAGAAAAATTCATTAAAGACTTCTAGGATGTCTGATTTTACCATATCCCAACACTCTTGATGGAAGGCAATGGAGAAGCCATCCGGCCCAGGGGCTTTAGATCTGTCCATTGAAAAAATAGCTTCCTTGATTTCTTGCAGGGAAAATCTCCTTTCTAGGACACGAGATTGTTCTTCTGACAAAATATCACCTTCCATCCCTGGCAATTCTGGCAACACTCCCTGTGGGCTTGAGAAAATTTCTTTAAAGTGATTTACAAAAATCCTTGTAATCCCCTTTCTCTTACCACTTGTCCCTCTTCCTCCACACTCAAGATTAAATTCTTCTCTCCTTCCCGTTGCAAGAGAGTGAAAAAACTTAGTGTTTCCATCCCCCTTTGCAAGCCACTGACATCTTGATTTCTGTCTCCAACAAATCTCCTCCTTTCGTAGTATCTCTTCAAGTTTTTGCTTTTGATTCCATCTTTCCCCTCTTTCTTTTTCTGAAATGACTCTGAGAGCCCCTTTCCTGTCTAGCTCCTCAATCCTTTTCACCAAGATATCTTTTATTTCCTCTACCCTTCCGAAATGGGCTTTATTCCATTTTATTTTTTCTTTTAGCCTCTTCAGTTTTCTGGAGAAACCTACCATTTTTAACCTCCCCAAAGGTTTGAGTGTCTTCCACCACTCCTTTAGCCTAATCTAAAAGGTAGGGTCTTCGAACCACATGTTCTCAAATCTGAATGGAGAAGGGCCTCCCCCTGGGATTTCTTTCTCAATACAAATAGGGCAATGGTCTGAGATTACTCTAGGTAAGCCTATTGCAATCAAGGATCCCCACATTTCTTCCCACTCTGGTGATAAGAGGAATATGTCTAGTTTGGAGCAGGTTGGGGGGGGGGGGGGATTGAAAATTTGACCAAGTATAATCTACCTGAAGCAAGGGGGTCTCTTAATCCCAAAGAGTCTATTAGCCTATTGAACCTCCTCATGCTAGTAGTTAATCCCTGATTCGGGTTGTTTGATTCCCCCAAGTATCTGATGACATTAAAATCGCCCCCCACACACCACGGGCCATTCCACAATCCCCTGATGGCACATAACTCCTCCCAGAAAGCTTCTCTTTCTCTGTAGGAATTAGGGCCATACACATTTGTTAAAGCCCATTCTCTTCCGTCCAACTTTCTTTTAATTTTTAGGGAGATTGAATACCGGCCTATCAATTCTTCCACACATTCCATTTCCTCATTTCTCCATATGGTCAGAATCCCCCCTGAAGCTCCCCACGAGGGTGTATATGACCAACTCAAACCCCTAGCTCCCCAAATGCTACTTATCCACCCTCTATTCAGCTCTGATAATTTGGTTTCTTGAATCATGATCAAGTCTGGCTTTTCTTTCCTGAAAACATTCATGATTAACCTTATCTTCTTGGCACTTTCTAATCCTCTTACATTCCAACTTATTATTTTCATCTTATTGATTTGTGACACCCCTAGGTTGGTACTTCTCAACACTCCCCTCTTCTTTTCTTCCCAATTTCCTCCTCGTAATTTATTCCACTCTTAAGCTTCTCAATCTCACTCATTTTCCTTTTCCTTTGCTTACTCTTCTTTCTCAGGTAGACTTTCTTTCCTTTTGCCTTTGTACCACCCACCCTATCTCCTTCTAGTCCCTCCTTTCCCTCCTGCCCATCTTCCTTTGGCCCCTCCAGGGTTTCGTTCTGGGATTGCTTTGTCTGGGTAGTGAATGGGTTTAGGCTAGCCTCAACACTATCCAAACCTAGGGTTGGGTCAGCTAGAACTTCCAGGATTAAAGATGTAACCCTAGCCCTCTCCTCCTCTACTCCATCTCCCAGCTGATTCTTTGGCTCCAAAATTGTGGCACTTTGGATTAAGAGTTCCATAGTAGGTGGGGTTATGACAGGACCTGCACAGGTAGCCAAGACCAAATCAGAGACCTCTTTAGGAGGAAGCAAAGGAGAGGAAAAAGGAATAGGAAATAAAAGTGTGGGAATTCCCTGGTTCAGCACGTCCAAAACCTTCCTTCGATCGAAACCGGCTGATTGAGAGTCCCTGGCAGGAAACACTGGGATAGCATCCGACTTCTGTTCCTCTTGTGTATCTGTGCTTCGGATAGTGTTGATATTCGGATCTCTATCTTGGATATCCTGACATTGTGTCTCCCTTGGTAATTCTCTTGGATCACTGTCGGCTACAACTAGGTCCGCCTTAGGGGATGAGGCAAGTCTCACCTCTATTTCTTGTTCTGGTGACAATACAGAGGTTCTAGAGGGTTCTTCAAACAGTAGAGGCGTCCCTGTTATCTCATCATTCCACAGATTATAAGTTTTAGTGGGTGAGACACTTCCAATGCTGCTTTCATCGTGCCAGACATCTTCTTGCCTTCGATCTTCCCAATCATCTTCATCCTACCTTAATGGATACATTTTTAATAAAAATATGGTATTCGTGCTATGCACCCCGCCAAGGACACCTTATCACTTTAGATGATGCCTTGAGAACAAAGTTGTGATCTTTCTCTCTATTTCATCCCTAATTTCTAAAGGTGCAATGTTTCTTCTCCTTCTCATCTCTATTCAGATCTGATTTTTTGTTGTCATAACTGAGATCCTTAATTTCCTCTTCCAATCCCACAAAGATTGTAGGACTTCACATTGTTGTCTAAATCACCATAAGAGAAGGATTGAAGGATCTCTAATAGGTAATCTACTAAGGTCATCCAGGGACTCATTTGTCATTTGTAACAAAGACCTATGAGCTTAGGAAGAAGGTCCCTTAAGGCCTTGATGAGATCCTCTTGTTAGGAGAAGACTGGTAAGATGCAAGTTATATAGGAGGTTACCTCTTCCATTGTATTCTGTATGTTCCTACTGTTACAAACTTACAGTCTTGTAATCTCTGTAATAGTTGTATCAGTTGGTTATCCTTGCTTATGGTGTGGGGGAAGGACCCATCAAAGATTAGCAAATAATGCTAACTCTAAATTGCTAACTCTAAATAACTGCATCTTTTAACTGTGCAGCTGTGCTTACTAATTTGAACAACTTAAAAATGGTATCAATGCTACTTAAAGATACTAACCAAGAAAATTAACAAAACGGAATTACCTGAGGAACAGCACAATCAGAATGAATTGGATCCCAAAGGACAGCACAGGAGCAGTCCCAATCATCTGTTTGAACTTCAAAAAGTGGTGCCCTGTAAACAACAAATAATGTTGAGTACTTTGCACTTCTAGAGCACAAAATTGGTTTTGCTACTGAGAATCATAAATATGTGAAAGCTCAATTCAAAAAAAGAAAAAAATAAGGGCAAAGACAATTAAAAGGATCCAAGAAAAATAATAATCCCATCCTCCATAAGTGGGCCAAATAACAAATTCATGAAGGTACATATGAGAAAATGGTGTTGTGAGAAGTGAGAACACTATTTCCAGATGGAGCAATTCCACTGGAGCAGAACAATCAATTTCACAGCATAAGGAGGTTATGCCTTCTGCTTGTCTAAAGGATTGTACTCCCATGCTGCAAATTGTGATAATGGACTTGATCCCATATGTAAGGATAATGTTTTGAGTTCTAGTGATGATTCAGTCACTTAGAGAAAGGTTGAAAATGATAAAGATAACTCATGGAGTAAGTGTCTATTTGAACTCGACCAAGTTGCATTACTTCTTAAACTTCTTCGCCCTATTTGTTTGGGTCCCTCTAAATCTGATGCACATATTTGGACCCCAAAACTGCTGGGCTCTTTTTCGTGTACTTCTTTCTTCTCTACTTTGTGCTCCATCCTCAACCCTCAGTCTTTCTTTTGGAAGGAAATTTGGTCCAAACCTATCCTCCCTAAACTAAGTACTCTGGACAACTTACAAAAAAGAAGCCCCTCTCTCATTATTTCCCAAATTAGTGCATCCTCTTGAAAGCTTCTGGAGAAAGTCCTCTATAGATATTTTACATATAAATATCATTTTATTTACCATATGAACATGCATCTTATGCTATTATGTTGTATCCTTTCATAAAAGTTTAAAAGCATTAAAACATCAACATTATTTTATTGCATTAAATAATATATGAATATGACTAAAAATATTACATACAAGAAAGAAAGAAGGAATGAATCATCTATAATGCTAACTCAAATAAAGCATGGGTTTAAAGTGAAAAGAAGCATATAACAGAAAAGTAAAATCTGTAATCTGTTGAAAACAACAGAGGAGATATTAAAACAATGGGGAATATGTAGATCCTAGAAATATATCGTGTCAGTACCCATGGAAACGAAATTATGTAACGGAAACATTAGGAAATATATCAACATGATAGTTTCATTGGCTTAAAAGAGAATAGTCACTCATGATAGGAATTAGGAAATGCTATAAAATACTTGGCTGAAACATTGCTCCTGTACCTGCGCCACTTTCCACATATATGTCCCTCAACAATTGCCCCTGTGTCATCATATAGAACTTCTCGACATTGAAGCCAATTGCCAATAGAGCTGGGTGTGGAAGACTTCTTGGAATTCCATCCCTAAGAAATCAAGATCACCAATTATTTCTCAATTGTAGTAGAAGTTTATTGGCAAAATATAGAAAGTAAATACTAAGAGAAGGCAGGGGCAAGGCCTTACATGAAAACAAACATGCTCTGTAGCATCCATTTCAAATGGTTCACCAATTGAATCATAATTGCTGTGTCAAAATGTACCAAATGCCAAAACAGCGAGAAATGATGAGTATCATGCCAACAGTGTGATACAAATGAAAGACTAAAGCTGAACTCTTTTTAACATATTGAGAGTTAAGTGGCATTTTTATAATCCTTTTTACCAGTAAATATGACCTGAATTTTTTAATCAAAAACCGTTAAAGAATTCTATTGATATATGGATAGAGAATGATAATACCACATTATTGCACCAAGCACCCCTTACAAGTAGTTTAGCCATGGCTAACTATCTCATTCCAGTTTTCTTTTACAAATCCACCCTTGGAGGATTTTCTTGTTGGACAATGTATGCCCTTAGCTCCAATCAGACTTAAGAACATTATTGTTTCATGTTGATATTGGTATGCTTTTTGTGTATTACCCCTTAAGTTGGACGCTTATGAGACTCGTGTTAGTTTATAATGTTCTCAGCCATTGGATAGGCTTGGTGAGTTTATCCTGACAAGGTTGACATTGGTGTGCTGCCAAATAGTTGGAGCAACTTGTCTCAATTGTCAGGGTAGACCTCAAGCACATGCGATGTGTGTTTAAACACTGAACCTGGACCGAGTTCTAGTTATGCCCTATACCTTAGAGATAGATGGGCAAATTGGAAAGTTACATAACCTCATACTTGATTATGGTACTGTGCTAGGTGTTGAACTAGGCTATCTTTAATGTTTCAATCAGTGAGATCCATCAAGGGTCAAATACATGGGCATGTTGGGGCAGTTTGGGAAATCACCTGAGTGGGTGATCATAGTGATAGGATCGGCCCCTTTGTTAGACAAAGTGAATATTAGGGTTTACAATCTCTCTGATGGAAACCTAAACTGCCAACAGTGGATTTCATCTGTATTTGAAATCTAATTTTGCAAAATGCATTTATATGTTATATACTACTATTTTATGAAAAAGGTTTGCAAAGGGTTTTAATCTTGGGATCCATCTGAGCAGAGAGTGTGGCACTACACCTTCCAGGTTGCAGCCAGGGGAGAGGTCCTTGCCGGGTAGTGTTTTGATCATTATGAGCCGAGAAGTTAAGTGTAAGAGACCATACGAGGTTGATTACCTAATGGGCCTTAACTCACTGAAGTCCATTATCCTTGAGTTTTCATTGGGTGGCTGAATCCAAGGATCATTTAGGTGTAAATGTTGAGCCCAGACTAAGCCCATGCCGATTGGCTCAGGGGTTCATTGCTCTGAACAATGAATTCGGCCTAAACTCTTTCAGAAGTAGGGCTGAACCCTTATGGACTTGAGTGAGACCTTTGTGGGGTCCCACGCCATACAATATCAGGCCCAAAGTGGCCATGCAACACTTAGGGACGTGAGCCTTTAAGGAAAATGGGCCTAAGGCCCATTATTAATATGATTAGTTAAGTTGTCACATGACAACTTAAGTTGTCATATGATTTGGGTCAAAACTGGGCATGGTTCTGGGTATGGAGCACCTATCCTCTTAAGAGGATAATGCTTATCTCTTAAAAGAGTTCAAATCCAAATCAGATTTGGATAATCTCCTAATTATATTAGGAGAGTGCTCCGTATAAGGGGTTTAAGAGGAAGAGGGAAAACAGAACTTGTGTTTCACTCTCGTGCTCTCTCCTCTTCTCTCTTCTCTCTTCTCTCCCAAAAACCCTATCACGACTAGGCCTTTCAAGAACTGATTTTTTATCAGCTTTTCCTCCAAGTTTTTGTAAGAAAAACATTGGGGAAATCAGACTCACACATCCCATTTGATCCAAGCAAGTTAGATAGCAGTTTTGCAGAAAACTGTATTGCTGAATCGGCTTCTCATTTACTGCGCCATCTTCAGTTGGAGGCCGGTTTTTGGGACTGAATTTGGCCGTGAACTACCACTCTGGGAGCTACAATTTGTGGACTCCGTATCAGGTATAATCTCCCTTCTCCTTGGTTTCAAATCTGGTCCAGTTTAATGCAAGAACGATCCTAAAATTTCATTTTCAAATTTACTGGGAAATTGGTTTCTGAAAAGTTTAAATTTTTTTTTTAAATTTTGGCCATCCATCTGATGGATTCCAGCTCTACTCCAACATTTTTTGGTAATAAATAAAAAATCACAAAAATAAAAAAAGCAGGTTAGATAAGATGGGTGGTTAGGAATCACCAAACTATAAACATCCATACAAAGAAACTCAAAAGACACAAAAGCATTCAAAACTCCCCAACAGTTTCCATCTCTAAAGTAGTCCAAAGACCTGCCCCAAAGGATTCTTTTGGCACATCTTTCTTTCCATTGAAGATTCTTCTATTTCATTGAATTTTGTTCACAATTAATCAGGTATGCTAATGGCTGATCATGGTATCAACATTTAGCTTGCTCTCACTTCCATGCTAACTTTTTCTATCTCAACTAATTGGGGTATCAGCTTTTTGATCAGCGAACATGCTGGTGTATGGGTTGATGAAACAAGGACTAGATAGAGAGAACATGTTCCAAGTGAGGGAGTACCCCTGATGTAAAAATATAGTGACAATTAGTATTTGATCCAAAATTTGGAAATTCTTGACAAAAGTTCCTTGTTCAACTAAGACCACCAAATGTAACACTTCTCTCAGTCTCACTGCCAAAGCTTTTGCAATATGATTGTATGAGCATGTTTTAAGACTAACCAGCCTAAAATCATTTGTGTAAGCAGAATTTGACTTTTCTCTCCCCACATGTCTTCTGACTTCTCCAAGGTCAAATTCCTACGTTTTGGTGCTAAGCATTTTCATTTTTCTTAACATATGGTCAATGAAGTTGTTGTCTGTCAGACACATTCTCTTCATTGCCTGAGGAAGGAGACAAAGAAATCTTCAGGTCGGTTTCAAAGTGGAGACGAGATGTCAAGGTGGAAGCAGAGTTTGCTGTTCGAGAAATGTAAAGTTCAAGGGACTACATCCCTGAAGGTACGAGAGGAGAAAAGAGCTTCAATCTCCCTAGTCAGAGAAGCAGTGCAATAGATAAAGGGGTTCATAGATGGAACAACATACTCTATGAAAAGGTTGGGTTGGAAGAGCAATCTTGATCGTTCAAGGAAAAGGTATGAGGCTGAACTCCGATGGAATTGAAAAGGTTGGTTTATCATAGTGTCAGAGTTCTTCCATAAAGACAAGAAACAAATGGTGTGTTTTCCAGAAGGTTTTGAAAGCAGGGGGTGGCTAAAAGTAACAAAGACACTTCATGACTTCCTGGTTTTTCATGAGACTGAATATAGACCAAGAGAGGGAGCAGAAGGTTGGTGAAGGGATAAATGAAGAGTACTCGGTGAGTTCAACCCCCTCGGTGGAGACTGAAAGTAAAGGCCTGGAGAAGACACCCTAATATTCAGTTCTTGCTCTGGGGTGAAGGCACCCGTTGATGTGGATGAAGGAGTCTGGGATAGGAGATATATTGTTATGGTGAAAGTTAAAATTCAGGATTGGAATCTTATTGCAGATTCGGTGGTGTCCTAAGTTTAATATTAGTAAATCTGCTGTAGTACTTCCATTCTGTGAGAACAGGAGCCATCATTGATATTGGAGAGGTGGCTGTTCGAACCAGTAGTGGAAACACCAGAGGGTCAAGTGCTATTTGAGAGATGGATCATGTTCTGCAACGAGTTAGAGCTTCTCGATGATTGTACAGTGGTGAAACTGATAGGACTTCCTTTCAACTTGTGCAAGAAAGAAATTCATTGCAGGATCATCAACTCTTTTGGCGGAGTAATGGAACATATCAGCTTCTCCAATCTGACAGCCGCAGTTGCGACAATAGGTGGGGTTAGACTGGAGAGAATACCTCGATGCTGTGAGATGTTTGCAGATGGTAAATGGTGGAAGGTGTGGATCGTAACAGAAACTGAAGCATCACTTTGGTCAGGATGCTCCAAGGTTGAAGAAGGTGCTGACATGGCAAAATGGGCTACAGGTGGAGAAAGGGGAGTGGCTGAACTAAGCGCCAGAAAGACTGAACTATTTAGGGAAGGTGAACAGTCATTGAACGTTGACTGAACAGAGGGGAAGACAAATGAAGAAAAATTTTTAAATTCATTAGAACTGAAAAAATGTGTAGCAGGTGGGGTGTCTTTTTTTGAAGCACTTAAAAGAGGCGTCAGTTCAGATCCAAGGTGGGCTCCACAAAAAAGTACATCCAGGGTTGACAATGTCTGACCCGACTGGTTTTAGGGTCAACCAAACCGGCAGTCCGGGTGCTAGATTAAACCAGTGGGGCACAACATCAGGTGATGCTTTAGTAAGTCATGTGAGCAGAAGGGGAGGAGGATCACTAGGAGACAGACGTTATGGTCTATCTTCTTCCTCTCTTTGCAAATCCAAATGGTGAGTGACTCTAATCGTGGGCTGACTCTAAATTGGGCATCTCTAGCCCCATCGGTGGAAAAGGACGGCAGCTCCTCCAGCAACGGTCGCCCCAACCAAAGGTATTAAAGAGAACATTCAGAAGAAAAAGAACTGGATGATGAAGGCTGGCTGGACTGTGAAGTTTCAGATGAGGACGTGACTGAATCGGATGATGAGTCCCTTATTGGCAGTGTGGGAGAAGACAAGGATTTGGAAGCTGGACTGGAGGGAATAGACAATGCGATAAAGGTGGTCAATCTTTTCAGAGAAGAAAAGAACGTGGTGGGTTCTCCCCCTGTTCTGATTCCAACTATAACGGAAAGGGGAATTAACAAGTGCGAGCCTGATCCTGAGAATGAGAATTCCAACTGAATACTAAATGAAGGGCAATCTACTCCAAATGGCAGTCAAAGGCAGGGTAACTGCAAGGAATTAGCAGTGAATACTTAGAGGCTAATCATTGATAGTCTAGTTGGAGACAGGTCGCAGAGTCTTGGCAGTAAGGAATTTGTCTCCCCTAAAATGGCTTCTAGACGCACGATAGCAACTCCTGTTCAAGTTGTGGATTCTAACCCCCCTTCGCCAACTCCACCAGGTACGTGTAAATTCGGGTTTCAGTACTGACCAGTGATTTAAA